GGGACTTCGCGGAGGATAACGTGCCTCGAAATCAGTTGGAACTACAATCGGCAACGAGGAAATACATATAACCCCCAGCACATTTTAAATTTACACCGCGCAATCAGCAAGAGCACCAGTGCAAAACACGCGCTATGCTGTTTTCGTTCTCAGTCACACAATACAATTACCGTACCAGCCACAATAAAATTGTACTCTACGTTTCTGCACAACCTGCCCGATGGATCCTCCTCTCCCCTCACAAATAAAGAGGTGGAGCAGGCGAGCAACATCATTGGGATTACATGCTGCTGGTGAGGACTGCGAGGGCTGCGTGACGGCGTGACTGTGTGACTGCTTCGTTGCTGAGGGCTGCTTCGCTGCTGAGGACTGCTTACTGGTGTTTAACCAGGTTAATTCTGTAACATGACGGATCAATTAAGAGAGGAACTACTAGCATTGGTCGATGGTGGAGACTACGGCAACAAACCGTTCGATATCTACCGTGCAAAAACCAAGTTGAATGCATCGATGGATCTATACATGGAGGGAGGGCTTTCGTGGGAGACTGCCGTGTATGGTAACGCATCAGCATTGGTATTTCGGGATGCGCTCAACGACGTTGCTAGGTACTGAAAAGAGAGTCGTGTGCCTACAAACCCCGACCACTTACAGAGTTTGCTGCGTGTCAAATGACATGCGAGCGCATATCACGCGCTGCGTTGGACGGGTGTGGGCGGTAGACGTGCATACTTCACCTGATCAAGTTTTAGCTCCACTTCTAGAGTATTTCAGCAAGCTAGATTTACCTCAAGATCAAGAATACGTCTACCCTTTTAAGACTGCGTTAGAATACGGAAACCGGGAGTCACTTATTTAAGTTGACCACGGCAGGGTCGTATCGGGGATTCCCCACCAATGCTTTAAAATCTGAATTATCTACTGGACACCGCAGTGTGCCCGCGAGTTCAGATTCACCAACAAGAACGACACCATCAACCGCATATTGCAGACGACCAAGTCGTGCGTGTTGGAGCAACGTCCAGGCCACGTCGTGTATCTGAAGTCATTTGGTTATCCCGCCGTTCTCCTGTTTTTTATAGGACCCCATTTACCCAGAAGTGGGGGAAATCGAGGGGAACATGGTTATGCTGAAATCGGATAGGCTTGCCTCCTACAGCCATGAATCTCGGATTACGAGCGGCATGGAGCACAGCAACGGGTCGCTTGGACAATTATTTTCTCGGCATACTTTGTCATGGAAGAAAGGGACTGGTACAAGGACATGTACGAGGACGAAAAGGAGAAGTTCAAGACGCTCCTTCGAGTGACGCCAAGGTCGAGTATAGCGCCTACTCAGCACAACTTAAAGACGCTCTTCGGCTTGACATTTCAATTAATCTGTATTACAATGTATTTCGTTATCTACCTATATCTACTCCATAGCAAGTGTCACCCCGCTGTTGCGCGAATCTCCGCGTCGGGATCCTTTGAGTGTGATCGGTCATCTATTAACGAGTGTTTTGTGTTTCTGGAGGTCTAGTGCTCATCGTCGTTCCTTTGCTTATATAGAATGAATGCAAGCGCCAAACTTCCGAGCGTATCGGCACAGACAGCTACCAATTTCCATATCGATAGGCCACCTGTCGGGCGGCATACCCTGCGTCTCCATCTCTGTCGTCAACTTGCTTAGTTGTGCTATCACTGGTAAGTCTTCTACCGTCCGTTTATGGATCTCGTCCGACACACGAGCGCAACAACGGCTAGTGACACGAACCAAGTCGTCCAGCGGTTCCTCTGTCGCATTTCCCAATAGAAAAGAAATACTGCAACGGGAAACTGATGTCATGTTCAGTAGATCAGACTGCGTCATAGTGCGCACACGACGAAGAAGACGTGCGTCAGGTTCTGGAGCAACCGCGACCGGCCAGGCAGTAGCCGCTTCGCTGTTGCACAACGTCAGGAGCTGAGGAATTAGACCTTTAGTTTTCTCGGCAAGACGACATCTCTCATGATAGCGGAGTTGTATGTCTCACATGAATTGTTGGTAGTCGCGCAGCCTCCAGGCATGTGATAGCACTACCAACACCAAAAAATTGCTTTCAGCCATATGTCAGAAAAGTACTTCGAGAATCGGGAAAGCTCAAGGGTCTTCTCCCACGCATTCTGTGCTTCGGTTAGAACATTTAAATATGCCGTTTCACACGTAGCAAAGTGCATCCGGTTAATTTCTGCCATAACCGCAGCTGCTGACTCAGGATAGATCGATCGGGTCTTCTCGTACACCGTCTTTGCCACATGGAAGTATCACATTAGGTACACGTATTCACACACTCCTCCAAAGATTTCGAAAATGGTGTTCCACTGAGCCTTATCAGCATCTCCCATAACATAGCCTCGGACTGGCTTACCCGCCACAGTGAATACATCTTCGGTAGCAATCGGAGGACCTCCGAGAAATGTTCTGAGCCTTATCAGCATATCCCATAACATAGCCTCGGACTGGCTTACCCGCTACAGTGAATACATCTTCGGTAGCAATCGGAGGACCTCCGAGAAATGTTGCTGCTCTTGTTGGGAGACTATGAAGGTCGCTAGTAAATGGAACCGTCGAGCACTGTCAGAAATCCCGACGACAATGACGGGATATCCCACGTTGGTCAGGTTGAAGGTGGCGTCGATGTGGAAGATAAATGACGCTGGATCCCGGCCAGCACGGCGCAGCTTTCGGTTTGAGCTCACCCCCGACAATGAAAGGATCGGCATCGCTGCCTATGCCAGTTTTAGGTTTGCCATCGCTATCACGGCAACTTGTACACGTAAAGGCAGATGTCTCCTGTTCCTGACCCGTGAACCCAGCGTCCTTGATCTTTTGGCGCAATATACGCCTAGGAGGTGATCGGTACAAACTCCTAAATCGCAGGGTAATATGAAATACAACCAGACACTTGAGGGTGCCCAGATGTAACTTAGCAAATGAAATAACTGCATCAGCCCAAGTGTTCGAGCGCACTGGTCTCCGAGTTGATTTGGCTTGAACGATGATGAGAGCTTTCACGTCTCTCGAGTGGTCGTAGTCAGTCCTTCGCGCTTATGACCCCGAGTCAATGACTCCCTTTGTAGTCATCCAAACAGGTCTCCTTCGACGAGATACAAAGCAAAATACGGTTCCTGCGAACCACTTGTGTTCTGTGAAGTAAATCAAACTCTGGTTAAAGCTATTCTAACAACTGTATTCCTTCTGTCTTGGTTCTTCTTCTGGAATTGTCTTGAGTCGTCTTTACGGTCTCCCTCCGCTTCGCAAACACACACACTCGGGATGACTTGGCCTTTGTATACTCGAGCGCCAATTGTCAACCACACATCAATGATGACGTCAAACACATCACGGATCTGCTGCACGTTCACTTCGAAACTGGCTTCATCATAGGTACTTGGACCGTGATACTGTGTATGGGTACATTTTTGTCATTTGGAATGTCCATCTTGTCATTCGGGGATGCATCGTCATTCGGTATTCCCTTCGCAGATTTCATCACAGGCTCTCATCTGACTGGCATGTTCAGCGTCTAACCCGCTAGGCTACCTTTTCGCTGTCGGTTAGGCACTCAGTCCACTGATCCACCCATCTTCCTGAACCAGCATGGCTTCATCTGTTTCGGGTACATATTCGAGTGTGCTGCAGTTCGTCCATAATCTCACCATTATTTTCAAGATGCCCAGCGTCTAGCCCCCTTGGCTAACTTTTCGCCGTTGGTTAGGCACTCCGTTCACTGATGCACTCGAACATCCTGGTCCTACATACATTTCCGCTGTCTTCGGATGCACTCGGAATGTCTTCAGAGTGAACAACTTGAACAACACCTTTGAGTAGTCGGACTTCGGGATCTTATGGGTGTACTGCTATACACCCGAAATAAGATTTACATATCTGGTAATTAATAGCAAACATGAGGAAGTTACTTCGAATTGGTAGCTTTGGTTGATGGCCGACTATCGCCAAGGTACGCTGCATCCGGGGGTACGTTCCCAGTAGCATTTTTCAAATCTACTGTCGAGCGGTCGGCGACCGGATAGAGCATATCGTACGATTCCAAACCTGTGAGCCTCTATTAGGCCAGCCATCAGCATACTCAACCTTCAACGCATTCGCATCTTCAAGTACTCCAAACAACACCCATCTTTGAGAATGCAAACTCGTTATCTTCCAAAACATGATTTCCAAGTACCAACGCAAATCGAACATATACCACACTCAACATCTGCGGGACCACCTGAAAATTTCCAAGTTGCCTCGTCACAGAATACTACATGAAGTTGATCTCGTGCGGCGGACTAAGTATTGCGTGACGCGACAGTGGCCAATGCCGCAGGAACAAGTAAAGGCGATCGACAAATACTTCGAAAGTCGTCGTAAGAAAGGACAAGTGCGGGAATCGAAGTCCCCGCACAGCGCAGCAATGTTCTGTGTCAAGAAGCTACAGCGTGGTTGGCGCATTGTTCATGCATACAACAAGCTGAACGATGCGACGATAGCAACACAGACGCTGATACCTCGAAAAGATGTTATCATCGATTCGATGCCCATGAACACCATCTATAGTGCTCATGATCTAAGAAACGCGTTCTATAATATCCTTATGCGTGAGAGCGATGTCCCTCTTACAGCGATAAGCATTCCCAGGTTATGTTTTGGGAGTGGCTAGTTATGCAGAAATGTATTATGAACGCCCCTGCAACCTTCAACAGATGCGTGACGACGCATTTATTGCGTTCGGTGCGCGACTTTGCACCGAGCTATGTCAACGATCTGTACGTCCACACCCGGGCTGTGAACGGGAAGACGGATATCGAGATGCACAAGGAGAATCTCCGGGAACTGCTTGGGCTCATGCGCAAGAAGAAGATCTATGCGAAAATTAAGAAATGCATCGTCGGTGCGAGCGAGATACTCGTGCTGAGGTGTCTCGTTTGGAAAATGGCGTACGCGCTGACCCTGATAATGTCAGAGTGATCAATGAATGGCCTACCCAACCAATGTGAAGGGACTACGGCGGTTTCTTGGCCTTGCCACGTACTTGCACAAGTACGCGGACAACTATGCAGGCACGATTACTATTCTGTTGCACCTTCTGAAAAAGGAAGCTGCGTGGAGTTGGACTGCTGGTTGTCAGCAGGCGTTTGATGCAGTCATGTTGGGTTTGACGGAAGCGTTGATCTCGGCCGTGACTGACCAAGATCGTACTTTCACGTAGTACGTAACTCATCCGATTTTGCGGTTGGATGAGCGTTAGGGTCGTCGGTCGAGTACAGTCCAGGAGGCTAAATGTCGTCGCGGACGCGTTGACACGATGACCAGATTATGCTGTCAAGACCATCGACGCCAATCGGATTGACGTCGCTCGGACATATACACCGTCGTCGGCCGCGTATGCGCATGACGCTAATGCGAAGCGGCTGATCGAGTTTCTCTTTACTCCTTCTGTCAAAGAACGTTGGAAGCTGACCCTTCGTCTAAGAGCGAATGCACACCGATATCGTGTGCATGACAGTTTACTGTTTACAGCGCTGTTGACGGCAATGCGGACCGCATTGTCGTGCCAAATGATCATTACCTGCGCACCAGGATCATGTATGAGTGTTATGAAGTCCATACAGCAAGACATCCGGGACGTGAAATGACGTATTCTCTTCTCACAAGAGACTTATACTGGAACACCAGTACAAATTGATACGCAAGAACGTAAGTACTTGCGATATATGTCAGCGCATGAAGTCTGCACCTCACTCACAGGATCCTGTTCGATCACCGCCGACTCTATTCAAGTGTTCGAGTCCGTTTTGATTACCTTTGTGTTTGATTTTCTGCGCGACTCCAGACGGGATACTGGTATCGTGGTCTTTTTACCGCTTCAGCAAGATAAAGCATCGCGCTGCTGTCGCAGCGGAGATGACCTCCGTACAAACGGCACGTCTTTTTCATCGACATGGTGTTCAAGCATCATGGCATGCCCAGCGACTTTGTGTCGGAACGCGATTCGCGCTTTACGGTGCGTTTCTGGTTAGAAAGGGCTCGCACTTCTTGGAACATAGTTCTCAATGTCAACTGAGGATCATCCGCCAACGGATGGACAAACCGAGCACACGAACCGCGTGTCATGGACTTGATGAAGAGCTAAGCCCAGTCATTTCACAACTGGAGCGGTTCTTTGCCGATGACTGAGTTCGCCATCAACAATGATATGCATGCCTCAACAGGGCATCCACCGTTCTTCGTGAACGCCGTGTGGCATTCACACCTTCCCAACATGATCGGAGTGGGCTACCATTGTAAAAGGGAGATGACCTATGGTTGCGCTCGAAAAACCGCATAATACAACTGATATGGATCTATCAGCTGCGATGACCCGTGCGAAAGTAAGAACCAGCACACTGCAGTACGTTGCTATGAAACAAGACGACGTGTTAGTGCCCGGCACTGACACCAGGGAAACTTACGCGACTTCTGGCCCTGATGTGAGCTCAATTAAAACAGCGGTGCTGGACACGAGCGCTACGAAGAGCCACACACAGTCTGGAGCTGATGCGAACACAAGTGGCGAGTCTGTACCAGACGCAGAAGCGGACAAGTTCGACGATCTGGCCTCAGGGTCCAACGCTCAAGGAATAGACATTTTCCAGGAACGCAAGCCATCTTTCGGTTTGTCCAAGACGCAATTGCAGCTTCTGCGGACATGCAGAAGCTGAACGCAGACAATGCGGACAGGGGCAACACAAAATGAATTCAAGGTCGGATCATTGGATTTGTTTGCTACTCAAAAATTGCCTACACATACAGTTTCTGTATTCGGAGCAGAATTGCTTTCTCTGCGCTTCATCGGTTCGTTCGCGGTGACTGAACGACACGGTAGTGCGTACACATTGACATTACTTCCCGGCATAAGATTTCATCAAACGTTCTATGTTAAGCGCTTGCAACCACTACACGAGTCATCTAGTCGTGATAACTCACCGGCGACATGCGATGCGCCTTCAGCATTCACGTATACTTCTTCCCCTCTCCTGAAGAAGACTTGTTCCGACACCCTAACATGGATGCCTGAGGTGCTGTTACCGACTTCGGTCGCGTAAGCCTTCTGCACGTTCAGATCCCGCTTGAGCTGAACAGCCTGAACATTCTCAAGGGCCTCCACATTAGCGTGAAGTGACTGACAACTATGGCCATCCTGGGGTTGACCATATGATTAGCGTTCACCATCACCGGCAGACGCCTAACTCTGCCCGCAGTATGATCCACCGGGAGGTGGATCGGATGATGGCTATACCAGTCCGTAGACGAACCGAGGCCAGGTTCGTTTACGTATTCGTAAGAGACTCGGTGATTGCCACGCGTTGAACCCAATCGCATCAAATGATGAGATACGCACCATCACCGGATGAGCGAAATTTCAGGTACCACTACAGCGTTCTACCTGTCCATCTCAGTGACATCCGTTGGAGAATCATTGCTGTCTGTATGGGCTACCACGGAACGTCCTCAACAATGACGTGCTACTATGAATCATTATACAGCAACGCATACAAAGCTATCATCGGAAATATTTACGTCGAGACTGACTATAAGTTCGTACAAGAATGACACAACAACACGATCCCAATGACCGAAATCTCTGTCGTAGAAAGTGGAGTGGGGATAAACTCCCAAAACAATCGGACGGAACATTGTGCTGTGTGTTCTGTATTGCTCAGACATACGACATTCTAAACGATGGGTTTTACTTGTCCAAAATTGAAGTAACAGGTGACGATATTGCTGTTATGTGCCCGCATAATATGGATGATTCTTCACAACTCCATGTGATAACACCGTCAATCAAGTCGACCAAGATGTAGAAGCTACACACGCAGACTTATTTGACAATATCTTGAAGTAAATGAAGTTGGTTCCTTCGCTATGTTGCTGGTCGTTGGTATTGAATGATGTTGCAGTATTCGTAGAGCAACACATTGCACGACATCGTGTAGGACGAAGTGTGGGTAGATGTTTTGGCTGCAGCAGCTAGAGCTATGGTGTTGTTTTTTTTCCTTGCGATTATCCGCGAGATCTCTTCGCGAGCGACCAGCATATACTGTACTTTTCAATTGACTCAACTGCTCTTCAATACTCTTTAATAACCGTAGCCTCTACCGCAACACATCGTTTGGCACATGTACACATCTATTGCGAGCGCAAGGGCAACGACATGAGGAGATCAGTGTTGTAGCAGTCTGTGTTTCTGTGTCAGTGGTAAAAGCTTCGGTGAGGGAAGTGTTAGTGCTCCCAGGGTTTGCGTCGTCTTAAACACAAGCATCTCTTTCGAATTCTTGAGTTCCGTGCAATGCAGATACAGAGAATACAGCCAACGTTGGGGCATGTACCATTGTTGAATACAGTGTTTGCGAGCAGTGCCTACAGATAGTGTAGTTGTCCAGAATCCACCTAAACGTCTGAAGTTAAACAAAACAAAATACGTCTGTAAGTTTGAAACTATGCCATGATGTTATGAGCTAGTTAGCATTCACACGTTACTGACACCAGTACAGTTGTAACAGATACGATACGTTTGTTACGGCTACATTAGCCGTAGGCTACAGTTTTACGATTTTCTATGGCTACTTTCATAGAGAGCAACGGGTTACACTAAGACAATACATTCCGGCTATTAGTAACCTGCCTACAGTTATAGAATATGAAGTTGTATAGCTTGTTGCATAATCAGGTTGGACGGAGCAGTTACGGGCGTATTTTTTCTGTTCCCCTACATGAATATAAATATTGTCTTTAATTAACAAAGTCGCGCTGCGCACGAAGAAGCTCTGAAATTTAGAACGCATCATTAATATTCTCAGCTGTGTATAAAAGATTGCAGGTAAGCTCCAACGTCTGGCTTCTTTGAGCTCCAGTCACAGATATTTCTGATTGTTTTTGGGCATGCGCCTGCTGCGCAGTCGGAGCATCTGCTATTATAGTTGTTATTGAATTAATTTGCACAGACACTACTTCTTTATAAAGCTTCCAATTTTACCTTCACGTAACATCCTTGCTTAACTTGCAATAACAGAAAACGACGGTGAAACTACCCCCCATTGAAATGTATTTTCAAGACAGTTGCAGAAAAGGCAGCTCGCACAAAACCTCGACCCCTCAGAGTCTCATCTGCAATTGGTCAAAATAAAAAAGAATTACACAAC